GAATGTGGTTCTTTTGGGGAGGGGTAGAGCTATGGAAGGGCTTAGGACGTTCTGTGCAGTTTGATAGTTTTGTGGATTGGTATTTTGGGTTAAGTGGGAATGTGGTGTTTGGGAGTTGAAGGCGGTGGGATTTTTGCTCTGATTTTAGGGTGGTGAGGCTATTTGAGTATTTTGGGGGTGTGGTGGCATTTGTGGGGGGTTGTTTGGAAGTGGTGAGGGAGTTTGATAGGAGACCGACGCGTATTGGGGGTTTTGGGTTGCCATATCTACCCTAGACGGGTTGTGCACGGGTGTCGATGGACAGTGCTGAGTAGGATCCGTGTTGGACGAGGGGAAGTATGTAGGAGGTCTCGCGTCGAGAAAGTTGGGGCCAAACCCGGGCAGAGGCGTGTCTTGCCTTCGTTGCATCTCGACCCTCATGTCAGCTATCTGCTGCATCAGCTGCGCAATTAGCTCATTCTGCTCTGCCACGGTGGGCTGGGCCACCACAACATCTGTGAGGCTGACTTCTTCGTTGTTGTCTCCCATGTCTGTATTTGCGTTTGGTCCGGGGAAGGAATCTGCGGGACCTTTTGATCTGGTGAAGTAGGGGTGATCTGCCAGCTTTATCGACACAGATCAGTTAAAGGTACTTGAGAGGTGAAACAACTCAAAGGCAAATTTGTTAGTGCATATCCGGAGTACAAAATGCATAATATCGCACAGAAAACAGATAAACACACAAGTCGCTTTGTTTGAGGATATCTTAACCCACGAATGAGGACGGAAATATATTCTGAACAAACAGGAATTTGTTTGTTTAGCGCTATCTCGGGAAAGCTGAATCTTCAGTGATAGGGGTCGGGCCGGGAAAGGCTGCCTACGTATCTCACAAGGAGAATTCAGGCCCAACGTAGTTCGAGTTTTAGGATGAAAATTTTTCATTCATTCTTTCATTGTGATTACAAGGGAATTGAAAAACAACATTGAAATTTCTAGAAGACAACATTTGGCGATTTCTTGTTTTGTGGCTGCGTCATTTCTTTCCTTTCAGACAGTCGGAAATGGAGGCTTGTAGACGATTTCTTCTTCATCGTCCTCCTCAATTACTTCACGGTTAGGGCCACTGTTATCTGCTCCCTAATCACGGGCGAGGTATTTTCCGCCCTTTGAGTTGCTGCGGGTCGCCAATTCCTCGTCGAGCGCCGCACTTCTGGCCAACAACACGGCAGTCTCGATATCTATCTTCGCCTCTCTCGCCTTTCCTTCGTGTATCTCCAAATGAAGCAAGTTCAACCTTTTCCTTAGGCTTTCGGTTTCCATCTCAACCTCCTTCTTTCTTTTTATCTGCGACGCCAGATCTTCATCCAAGGTCGTGACCGCAGCTTTGTAGATCGTCGTGGTCATGTCTACTTTGAGCCCTTCCTCCTTAACCTTCTGAATCTCTCGAGTGATTCGCTCGATATTTCTTCGTAATTCCTCCTCAGTGAGCTTCGTCTGGACGTTCTTGCCTCTGTCCATAGTGGTGATTCACCTTTCCTAAGACGATAGAGCGGTATTCAGGATTTGTGGTATGGAAGATGGATTTTGTGTGAGAAACTTGAGACTTGGGAATTTTGGTCGGACATTTGTAATAGTGGCTTATGTATACTTTTTGGGATTTTGGCTTGGTGTAGGTTTACGATATCCTCATTCAAAGCAACGTAACACATAAGCATTTAAATACACATAGATAACGTATCCAAATCATGCATGTGGACCCTTTTTGTGCCAAGGGTAGGCCTAACGCATTCGAATGATTACGTGTGAGTTTAAACCAATTAAATGATTCCCCCCAAAATAATATTTAATAATGAGTAAAATGTTCGAAAAGGGAAATAAACAAACCCACGCAAGGGCTATTTAGAAAGTGCTATAATATCAGGCCCACGCAGGGGCAAAAATAATGCGAGTACAAACAAAGAAAAACCCGCGAAGGGGCGATGTCCACTATGCTGCTCCGGATGGTCCCGCTCCGTCGTCGTCTTTCCGGATTTTGTGCTGTTGGAACATGTACCTCAGCATCAGCAAAACCCCTCACCCAGACGACCTTTGTCTTCCAGACTCTCGTATCGCATCCTCTCGATTTTCTGCTGGATCCAGCTGTCGAACTCGTCATACCCTTGCTTCAGTCTCTCGATCTCTCGAGTTGCCCTCTCGAGTGCGTCTTGATTCTCTACGAATTTGGCATAGATCTCATTAGCCTCTTCCTTTAGCTCTCGCTATTCGGCCACTGCTTTGGCCTCTTTGTGTGTCACACTGCGAAAGCTACATGGAATCTGGAAGGAGATATTTTGTATATCCCTTTTCAACCATTCTTTGTAACCTTCGTCGTATCCAGCTTGAATCGGTCAGGGGCGATAGTGTCTTTGCCCATGCGCTTGGCATTCTTCCATTCTCTAAGCATCTCTGTAGCGTCGTCCACTCTGTCGTCCCCAATGTCGTACACATAAGCTCCATAATACGCTTCTCTGGGGCACAGTCTGTCTTCTTCCGAACTGTCGCAAGACTCGGAATGGCGCGTAAGGGCGAATTCCTCGAATGCTAGGTAGGGGAAGCACGACACATTTTCGACTTTTTACGACAACTTCCTTGGATATGAAGTGGTCGAGCATCCATTGGAGGTCCTCTTCTCTCAACTCGGAGAAAATCTGGGCCCATCTTCCTCTCGTTCTCCGATTGTTCATGTTGGCCCAGAATAGTAAGTCATTCAAGTCTTTGAGAGTGTTCTTGTTGTCGAGAGTGTGTAATTCTCAAGTTCCAGCACCCTTCGCCAAGTGGCTGAGAATCCACCATTGGAGGAGCATATTACACCCCTGGAAGTACCGATGTCCCTCTTTGCACTTACCCAAAGCGCGATACTTGTCCGACAATATGACCGGAGCTACGGAGTAGTACTTCATTGTTCCTTGATTTTCGTATCCCTTGAACAACGTATGGACGAGCGTTATGACTCTGGCGTTGATGCTTAGACTAGGGCCGTGCGGGAAGACCATTGTTCCCAACAAGTCTACGGCAAATGCCAACGAGCGGAGTTCATTCCACTCCCTGTAGGAAATCTTGAATTCCCGATTATATGCGACATAGAAACTCGCGTGTCCGAATCTGACGTAGAGGTCTCTAAACATCACGTGGGAGTCTTGACACCAATAGGTGAAGTCCTTTCTTAGCCCTAACCAATCCGAGATGCTCTCAACGGAAGGTTTGTTGGGGATAAACACGTCCTCTTGTTATCGGGCTTTTCTCTCTAGGCCCGTGCCCACGGTGTCTAGCAATCCCTTATCTCCTCTATCGTAGGGGTAATTTCGGCCGTTCCAAAACGGAAGACCATTCTTTGACTGTCCCAGTACCCCGTGAGCACCTCGATCAACTCTGGCCAACCGTCCATGTTGATTAGCTCGGTCAAAGCCCCTACGTATTTGTTGAGAGTTCGCCTATGATCTCCGTCTAGGTCGTTATGCCACATTGTAAGTTGAGGCGGCGTTGAAACAACCATGTTGAAATTTGGGAAACGATCCATCTGAAAAACAGAAACCCGTTAGATTTTTCCCCTACCCCAAGTTGGTTTTCACACATACACTTTCGAATGTCAAATAACATGATGCATCTTGAGGTCGAAGACCTTAGACGTGATTTTTGGTGGTTTTCTACTAAAATGGACTTAATACGTCTTGGGTATTAAGCCGTCCTAGGCTGATGCCTAATTTTGGTTTTGGTTTCGCTCTAACTTAGGCTTTTCTTGAGTTGTTTTTAAATAGACGGTACCCGAGTCGGATAAACATCGAGGTGGAGCTATCGAATAACGCCGGATGACCGCATTTCGACTATTTATTCGATACTCCCAACTGAGTTCTTGGGGTATTTCTGAAAGAAATTGCGGTAAGTCGCGTAACTTCCATTTCCTAATGCAACTAATTGCCATTTGGCGGAATTTATACCATGAAAAAATGCAATTTTCAAAAACTAAGTAATCTAAGCAATTAAACAATTAATTACAAGTTAGTCAAATAGAGTTAGTCTTAGAGTTAGAATCCTCCAAGTTCCCCAGCGGAGTCGCCATTTTTTTAATCGAAAAATGATTTCGAAAAGAGTTTGTTTTATTTTTAAAGATATTTTTGACTTTTAGGAGTCGCCACTTAATTTTAAAAAAAATTAAGAAAACTTGCTTTCAAATAATTAAACAGGAAATCGTTTGAAAACTTTTAAAGGTTCGGGATTCTTATTAGTGTCTTAGGAAGGTGTTGAAGGCACCTAAGACACTCCGTTAAATACGGTTTTCCGACGATTAACTCTACTTGACTATTTTGTTTTAAAGACTTGTGAATTTTTAAAGTTAGATTTCTCAAATCTTAAACGAACTTAATAAAACATTATTGCTTCAAAAATTCCGTTTAAAGTTAACTTTTTAAACTTTAAGCAACTTTCAAATTTTAACATCTATTGTTTTAAAGTTTCAATTTTTAGTTTCGGGTCGGATAAAGCAAAAGGCGTTTGATGGGGGTTTGGAGTCATTCTAACCCTAGACTAAAAGTCATTTAAAGCAAAAATATAAATAAGTAGTAAAGCGGAACAGAGAGAGGGAGAGAGAGAGAGGGAGAGATTTGGGTCCAACTTCGGTTCTGTCCGCCTTGACCGAATGTTGGACCCACCTGCTTTTGGGTTTTTAACCCGTTCACCTGTCCTAATCTAAACACATAAATGGTTACAAGAAAGATAAAAAGGACAAGAGCTTATGCCCATTACAAAGTAAAATATAACATAAAAATAAAGAAAAGGTCTTCATATCCGTCTCCTTCAAATCTCTTCACTCTTCACGACACTTCTGAATTTAACTTCATACGCCGGTTTTGATGAATTGACTCGATGAAAGACATTTAGAGCCTTTATGGCTCCCTCTTGAAATGCAAAGAGGAGAAGGGGAGCCTCACAATGGACTCGAGAGAAGATTTTCCATGCAAACAAGTAGAAATACATTAGCATACACAACGACAAAATAAATCAGATGTATTTCGAATGAAACAAAATAAATAAACATACGATTCTGAAGAAAGCCGAATAGATTAGCAAACACACTAACTTTTAAGAGTCATTAGATTTTCCCAACATGCAAAAGCCATACCAAATACAAACAGCAAATAATGAAACATTCCAGAACGTGAATAAATTAACATTCAGGGATTTGCATCATGCTGAAGTAGCAAACAAACAGTAGCTCAAATCACCAAATTGACAACTATGCTCTTTCATCCTCAACTATACGTAAAATTTTGCTACCAACATCAGGTGAGATCTTCAAAAGTCTAAACCAAACCAAATAAACATGAGAATCTGACCCGAGCCACAGATAGTTCAAACTCACTTATAATTTGAAAGCGATAAACGCCAAACTCAAAGGAGCCAAACAAGGCATTGAACAAGCCTAGTTGGTATTCCGTAGTGAGTAGTTGCAAGAAACAACACAGACTACCAAAGCTCCAACATAAAGAATGATAGCGAGCACAACAGAAACGGGACCAAACAGGACTCTAAACGAGATTCCGAATAAGCAAACTGACTCATTTGTCATATGGAAGAAATAAAACGAGGAAATTACTATATAACATAGATACAGAACACATATGAACAAACATACTTTCTTAACCGACAAGTTCAGAGAAACCACAAAACATACTGACAAAGGCCTATTTGAAGGCTTGATGGATAAACAAATGAAATCTAAATCAACGGAAAGAAACTCAACTTTACAACATTAAGAGATCAAACAGAAGGTAATACCATTATCGAGCAAACCCTATAGGACAGCCTAACCCAAAGTACCAACATGAACAATAATATGCGATATGGGAACTCAAAACGATAGCAGATGCAGTCGCTTAGATTCAGAATGTTGGCATCTTAGTTCGCTCATTAAACTCGAGGCGAAAGAAATAACGATACGATGCCGAATATCAAACAATATTGAAGAACCACAATGAATAAAAATAAATCAAGATGAAAGAATGATCTAAAAAAAACTATACCGAATGTAGCTATGAAACCCAAAATATACCAAGAACAATAAGATTCGAACTAGGAAGTAAACTCGAGACATACATTGACTGCACGTACATGCTTATCTCCTATTCCATAGACAACTAACCAACAGCCTTAAAACACAAAGAACCATCATCCTTCAGAAAACTATCAGCACGACATAACCAACTGAACGAACCACTACATACTCGAACAAGTAGAAAACCAAACAAAACTAAGAGGAGCGAAGTTGTATACCTTTTCCTGGGCAGCGATACTGGAACGGCTACGAGCAGCGACTTCAACAATGACTTCCACCACGACGCGAGTTTAAGAGCTCCAATGAGCAGTACAGATGCGATGAAAAGCAAAGAGACTGTGTAGATCCAAATATCTCCACGTTCGAAGCTCGATAGAAAATTCGAAAAAAGAGAGACGGGACACTTGCTTTGTTATACGATATGAACTTAGAAACAACCAAAATTTCCAGAAAGGAAAGGACCTGCTGTGATACAAGAAAAAAATCCAAACAAAAATTCGACTTCCAAAATTTTCAACCCCCTCAACGTTTGAGGGAGAGGATATTTATAGAGGGAGGCTAGGTTTTCGAAAGGTAAAAGGGCTTGAGGGAATTTTCGGCCCATCTGCTAATTCGAAATTCAAAAATCCCAAAATCTTATCCGAAATTTTGGAATGTACCGATTAGATGCTTCAGAATATCCCATTCAAACGGGTTGATGGCGAGGTGGAGGGTCGGGATGCGTTCGTTGTCCTTGCGCGCTTCGTGTCATCATCTCGTTGTTGCAAGGACGAGCAGGACGATTCCAGGCTGTTGAGGCGAGGACGGCTACTGTTCCACTGTGCGCTCGTACGAGCGCGAAGAGAGAGGGAAGGAGACGCGCGACGTCGGGGACACGCGAAGAAGAAGACAAACCAGGCTGGGCATCTTCTGAGAACTCCTTGCGCGTGAGTTTTGGGAATTTTGACGATTTCTGGGGAATTAATTTCGCGTCTGGGAGGTTCTGTCTCTCCTGCGTTTGCGTCTAGGGGGTTTCTGCGCGAGGGAGAGAGAAGCGTACGCGATTGGCTCACGTTGGGTTCGCGCGAGGGAGGGGGTTTGGGAGAGGGGGAGAGAGCGTGGGGGAAGACGCGGGTGAGAGAGGGGTTTTGCGTTTTTGGGTTCTGCTCTTTTCTGCGTTTTCTGGTGGTGTGGATGTTGGGAAGAAGAAGGGGAGTTGGGATGGGGTCAGGTTAAGGGGTTATTGGGATGGGCCTGGGATTGTTTGGGTTGCTTGAAAGGGTGGGCTGCTGAAGTGTGTTGGGCTGGAGGGGAGTTGGGCTGAAAATTAAGAGGGGTGGGGCCAGGATTAGTAATAGAAATGGGATGGATGTTGGGCCTAAGTAGGTAAAGGAATAGGCTGGGTACAAAATGGGTGTCAACAAATTTAATACCACCTTGAGAAGCATAGCACCACTCTCATAGTATATGGTATGTTATACTCGCTGCCACATCAGCACCACGTTAGAAATTGTAATTTTTTTATATTTTCTTTTCTTTATTAATTAAATTTTCATTTATTAACTCTATATTACACTAATTAATTCCTAACTAATTATTAAAATTCTCTAAGAATCATATCTTCTTCTAGTCTAAATCTATCCATTTTTATCTCAACTAAAAAGAATTATTCATTTGAATTTATATCACAATTCTCTTTGTCTTCTCCGGCGAAGAACAACCAACCCACCACCATCACAAACCTACCTCCATACGTCATCCCCTTTTTTCCTATAGCCGACCCATCTCCGACAAAGAACAACCACGAAACAGCTACCTCACCTACCACAAACAGCCACCCAAAACATTAAATCGATCATTGACAAATACCATTGTACAAAAATTTGAAGGAAGAACTGAAAGATTAGGACAACAAAGTCTCAAATTTCTAAAATCATTGTGAAATTTAAATTAAAAATTACTTTTTCCAAGTATAATGATGAAATTGAGTGAAATATTATAAAAATATGATAAGAAGAAAATGAAATTAAGTGACAATTTGTAAAAATGTGCTAAGAAGAAAATAAAGAAGAAAATTTCTCAAAGAAATAAGAGAAGAAGAACATGAAAAAGAAGAAAACAGGGGGTGGGGTCGAAAAAACAAAATATTTTTTTTGACTTTATTTCAAATTGAACGCGCCTAATTTATGTTTGTTTTAAAAATTATTTCCACATTAGTTTTGGGGTGGTATTAATTACATTTTGAACAAGAATAAGTGTGTAATAGGTTGTCATTATAGTTAAAGTGTGAAACTGACTTTTCGATACAAGTTGAAGGCGAAATTTATGTCTTTTTCCTTCAAACAACTATTGACGTTGTCGGACGACTAAAGAAGTTATCCCGATGACTATAACAGTTGTCGGATGACTAAAGAAGTTGTCTCGATGATTAGGACAGTTGTTGGACGAATAAAGAAGTTACCTGATAACTACAACAGTTGTTGGATATCCCGACGACTACAACAGTTGTCGGACAACTAAAGAAATTGTCCCAATGTTTATGACATTTTTCGGATGAATAAAAAAATTGTCCCCATAACTACGACAGTTGTTAGACTAAAGTGTAAAAATTAAAAATTTGAGGCTATTGTGAAAACATCTTTTAACCTCATATATATTATTTGTCACTTCTATCCAATTTTTAAAATTTAAAGGACTCCTACCTGATTGACTAACTAGTTTGTCCTTTTAATAGACCTTCTAGTTTAGGGTTATCAGGTTCTATATCCCAATAACAATAAGTTATAGAGTTGCTCCCCCTATATCTATAGGATTAGAAATTAGACATCATAATCTCATGCCATGTATGTTGATCATATCAAACTCTCCAAATAAAAAACTTTATATTAATTAACTTAAAAAGTATCAAACTTTTACGCAGAAATAATTTATGATGTATTACAAATATTTACTCTCAGTACATATTTTAAAGTGTCAGTTTCAATCTTATTTTATAATATTAATTAATTGGAGAATGTTAAATGATTATCTCGCTTGCTTTCGTCTTGACTCTCGGCCTTTCACTTATTGTATTTATATTTTTCATATTCAAATTCAAAATTCATCAACTATACTATATTGATATAATACATAAATTGAACTCTTAACTTAATTTCAAATTATAACTTTGATCTTTAACTTTATCAGTACACAAATAAACATTTTAATTATCCAAAACTTAAGCCAAAAAACACTCGGATCCTACCTGACAAATTGTGTGAAATACACCCAAATTAAATCGAGGCTCTCAACAGTAAAAAAACACTGAAAGGATAGTTAAGCCCTCTTTCTAATTTTTCAACAATTTCCCCCTTTTTTTTGCATTATTTGTTGTTCATTGCAAAATGTAAGTGATATTTAATTACTTTTTTTATTATTGTGAAAAAAAAAATTATCATATGTTTTTTGCTAGATGGAGTGAGTATATACTTGTAAAAGTTGAATGCAACTTAAGTTCGAAGGCTCTCAATCAAAGAATCCGATCTACAATTAAAAGGACTCCTTACATTTTTTGATTAGATATCAGATTGCTATTAAACTTGATTAAAATCTCTGAAAAAATCATTTAAGACAATATATCAAACAATTTAACTCACCATTTTACATAACATTTTTTAGCACTGTAAATTTTTTTTTGGCCTTCAAAAATTCATAATTGTAGTTCTCTTCACTATGACAATCACAATACACAAAACACCCTGTTTTTTTCATTAATTAGTTGACAACTTAAAGTATAAATATACTTCAAACTGAATAAAAGAAGGAGAAGTTCATTGATTCTCATGTTTTCCCATATTTATGGGCTGCTCTTAAATAATTTTGAAATTGAAACATTAGTTTCCTCTAGAGATTTTCATATTAGTTTGAACATTTGACCAACAATATGCAAATTCTTGTTTGTAAAATGTTGCAAGCTTGATATCTTGACTAAATTGAGGAAGAAGAATTAATAACCAAATATGAAATTTCAACAAATATCTTAACAATTTTTTCTTTGATTTGAATATAAGGAGCATGAATTTTAGAAATTTAAATTAGGATTTTTTTAGAGGAAGAAGAGAAGAGGTACTATTTTTTTTCCTAAAAATGAATTTGTTTTCACTTTCACCTTATTCTATATTATAATTTATTTTTTAAAATCTAGGTGTATTTATTTTAGTTAGTTAATAGCAATTAGTGGTTCACTTTTCCACATCAGAGCATATGTGTATCATACGTTTTGTCTGAAATAATCAAGTGTTTTTTGTTTAAAATTCGGATAGTTAAAGTGTCTTCTTGTGCACTGTCAAAATTAAAAACTAAAGTTATAATTTGAAGCTTAATGATACCATTTATATATTATGCCTATTATATATGTGTACTATATAATATAGTCAATTTTGTTTTACATATTAATACATTTCATTGTATTAAAGTACCTTTGTGCTACATCATTTGATGATATATATATTTTATTTTTATGTTTGATATTAATGTGATTATGATAAGCGATTTAGTTTTGTTACTGGAATATAGCAATCTACAAAGGGAATAACAAGTAAAGAATAATATTTATATTCGAATGATTGTGCAAAGATTACGATCTTTATGAAATCTACGAAAATAGATGTTATACTATGATTTTTCTCCTAATAATCATCAACTCAAGAATCTTTACTTCGTTCTTGAAATGAATACTTGTTCTTGAAAGAATCCTTTGTATATATGTGGAAGATTTGCGGAGTTTTTCTATGTATTTCTCTTCTTCCTCTCTTTTTGGTCTTATAAAGATCACTTGTATAGGTTTTAGGATTTTGGGGTATTTTGGTCCTCAAGTAAATTTTAGAAATTCGTAGGCTTGAAAAGCATGAATTTAACTATCTTGTTAACTTTAATAGACTGACTCAAATATAATTTAAACTTCATTTGAGTTATATAATTTGAACTTAAATATTAATTCAATTTGACTAATCAATCTGACTTGGTCAACATATCATAAATTTAAATACTACTCTAAAATTCAGTACTAATTTTATCAATAAAATTTCATAGTTTTAGAAAATCTTGAACCTCCACTTTCAATAGTTGGAGTCCGTTTAACCATGCAATATGGTATCATGAAATGAAATTAAAGTTTTGTTTGGACATGTGATATGAAATTTTGTTGTTGTATATTTTTGTCATAAACATAAAAATTTCATAAATTCTAAAACTATTAAAATAGCCCCAGTTGTTTATTCAATATTATCAAATAAACAAAAATCATATAATAAATCATTACAAAGTTATTTGTTCTCCACTTAAGTAATTATTTCATCAATATATTTGAGTATAAATGAGATACCTTTCACGGACTCTTAATATTTTATTATTCAACAATCGTGAAGCGTGAGTTGTGACTATATGTTGGTGAGAATAATAAATTTTATGTCAGTGAAATATTTTTAAAAAGTAATGATGTGATTATAAATGTTATTTACATGTGAAATAAGTGGTTAGTAAATGTAAATATGAGATTGTTTTAACAAAATATAAATTCATGAATCAATTTTTATATTAAAATAACTCATTTCATAATATGGTACTATTCTCGTATAATTTTATGTCATGATTTATAAATAATATGATATCACATCTCATAAGATGAAATCAACATAAAATCATATATTCAAACGTTGAAAACACCCAATTGATTAGTTAAAATGGAGATAGATCATGTGAAGCTAATAGGAGGAGATAGATCTTGAACCTCCACTTTCATTGTCTCAAGTTAGTTAATAACCAAGATAAGATTAGTTTTAAAGTCTTTGGTAATAGATTACTATTATTATATATTTATTTATTTTTAAAAAAATGCCGCAAATAAAGCCGAAATTAACTCAATGACTAAAACGGCGAATAGGTATATACATTTTTTAAAAGTATAAATAAAGAATAAATATATGCATTGAGTACAAGACACGTGTACCAACAATTGCTTCATTAATTAGTAAACACAGCTCATTATTTGTACTCCTCTTCTTCCATTTAAATTAATTGGTGTCCCACTCCCCAATATTAATGCCTCTAATTTTTTGAACTTCTATATTTAGATTCTGAAAACATAATATGATGGTCAATTTTTATATTTAATATTTTTATCCTTTTAATGAAATATGGTCATAAAAGATGATTATTATAGTGACGTTGAATCATATATATTTTTACTATATGTTGGTAATATGGCTGGCTTTCAAAAACATTTTCCACAAAGCAAGGAGGAATATAATTTGTTCCTTAAAGTCGCTTTCCAAAAAAATAATTATCTTAGATACTAAAAACATATGTAACGCCATATCAAAAATATAGATCATAAAACTCTAAAAAAAAAAAAAGAATTAAAAATAGTGTGCAAGGATCTGAACTGATCGTTATGAGTTCCAATTTAAGTGGAAGTGGAATTAAGAGTGAGAGAGATGTAGACGAAAGGGATGATTTTATTATGAGGGAAAGCCTCAATTTAAGTGGAAGCGGAATTAAGAGTGAG